ACGTGTGACCTCGGTTTAACGAGAATCGAGTTGGAACGTGTAGACAATTCAAGCACGATTCCATACGGACAAATTTTGCATTTTTCGGAGTTCCAAGCATTTATTACGGGAGTTTGAATTTCTGCGTTAAATAGTATCAAAAGGAGCAAATTTGTCGAGGACGAGTTCGATCGTTCGAGGCTTCGTTTTCTCAATTTTTTTAGCTTTTCGTCTATTCGGAAGGAGGTATAATTCTTGATTATTATTATAATTGAGTCCGAGATTTTATTAGTATAAATTCGAGAATTTTTTGAGTTAAAACAATTCAGTTTAAGTATACCAGTTTAATTCCGGACTTAGTTTGATTTTTAAAAAAATCTCTAGAGTATTTCTTTATATCCTGAGAAAATTTTTGAGAGCGTCCACAAAAGCCCTTTGGGCGCCCTTCCGATGCCGGAGTGGGGGGGGTGCGCCGGGGGATGGCCGGAGTGAGAGTGGTGTGCCGCGGCAAATTAGGCCCTCCCCGAGATGACCGGCTGGTTTCGCCACTGTACCCGCACCCAACCCAACCCAGGGTTCGGGTAGCATAATTCTACCCGAACCCGACCCAAAACCAAATTATATCGAGTTTACCCGACCCAAAAATACGGGTAACCTGCGTAACTCGACCCTACGGGTTTTATTGACATTCCTAATTCAACGTCACAACTTCAATCCTTTTATCTTTGTTTTGTCGTGCAATGTTAATTTAAAAATTTTATAATCTTGATTTTTCCGGTTTGGTTCGATACGTGAACTGCACCGTTGCTCACCTATAGTTCTCTGATTTCTAAATTTTTAAAACAAACTATTCCTTTCTTTTATTAAATAATAATAATAAGTTATTTAAATAATTATAATATCACACTCTTCTCTATAACTCTAGTTTTATGTTCGCACGTCTTTGCATGACGTGCTCTTCCATTAATGATGACTTTATTTTAATATAAAACATAGCACTTTTATTTAAAAAAATAAAATTAAGAAGGAATAATCGAATCTTTTAGTTTTATTTTAATTCGAATTTACAGACAAGCAGTAGATAAACCGCACGCTGTAAAAGGCTATGGGATCGTAGCCCGCTGTAATACTTTGTCAAAAGACTTGACTAAACAAACTGTGGGCTCTCTTTTACCAACAATAACTTTGAAATACTATTGCTGATTATATACATTTGAGGAGTACATCAACAATTCAACATCATAATTGAAGATGATGCATAAGTAATGAAATATAATATTCTAATTCAATATTTTGAAATTTGATTAAAATGGTAGTTTTTGATGTAAAGCTGCAACCGAGTCGAGTTGAATCGGGCATTAACCTTATCGAGCAGAATTGAATTTTTTTAGATGCTCGAGCTCGAGCTCGACTCGATAAAAAAATACTATAGCTCAAGCTCGACTCGAAAATTTTTAAGTAGAAATGTAAAATTACCATTAAACACATATGTTAATATATATAATAAGGGGTATTTTAGTAATCTAAAGTGTATCTCGAGCTGCTCGACAAGACAAAATATGAACTCGAGCTCGAGCTTGACTCGAGTTCGTGCTCGAGCCGAACTTTAAGGAGCATCACATGTTGGTTAAAGTTAGAGCAAAAGTACTTTGGTAAATGTCCGAGTAAATTCTATCTCGGTAAATCTCACATAAAGCCACAAATTAATCCAATTGATTAAAGTCGAATAGAACTATAGAAGTATCCAAAGCACATTATCAAAAGCTAATGGGAAATTTTTGTCTCTCCTATAAGATATAAAAGTATTTTCAATTTTGCCTTAATGTAAAAGTATTTTCAACAATACCTAAAACATCTATTTTATTTAAGAGATTGCATCTAAATCAGTTATCTTGTAACTTGCGTGAAATCCGCCATTATAAACAAAAAAAAAACTGATTAAGAGAGAGAAAAGAAAAATAATAACTGATTCATTTATTACTTCCTTAATTCACGCAACTTGTACATTGTAGTTCAAACAGTCGTCAGTTAGTATATTTTGAGTTTATGTTAGTATATATTTAGTGTATGTTGCAATATTATAATTCACGCAGCCGCCAAGTGGTATATTTTGAGTTTATGTTAGTACATATTCAGTATATGTACAATAAAAAACAAGTCTTCCACAAAAAAAAATTATATCTTTTTTTTTTACTTTTATACATAAAAGTACATAGAAACACCAAAATTTCTGAAATTTTGGGGGGAAATTATTACCTGACATACACAAAAAATATACTTCAAATATATTAAAAATGTGTAACATGTGCAGAAAGTCAGTGACAAAAGTGTATAGCATAGAAAGAGAAAAGATACTTCGGATAGAGAGAAAAGTTACCTCGGATATACCCACTAGATAACCCGAGAAAAAGTTACTTCGGATATACTCGAATATACCCAACATATAACACAAGAAAAAATGGAATTATTAAACAGATAACCAGAGAAAAGTTAATTCGGATATACTCGGATATACCCAACATATACCCAACTCGATTTTGTAAATATACCTTCGAATTATCAAATCATACAAGGAAAAAAAAAGGAAAGAAAAAAGGGGCAAATTCTAGGGAACACGAGACGGATTCTTCTTGTCATCCACTCAAGCAGGAGGGTAAACTCGCCGGTGTTGCGCGAACTAGGAATCGCCGGAGGAGGATCGCGTCGGGGTGGCTGTTCACGGGCGGAGGGCGATCAAAATTCGGTCACGAGCCTGGTATCTCTTGAATAGAGGGGACGATGGTGACGGAGTCGGGCACTAGATCTAATAACTGGTGAATCGTCGCCACCATCCGCCGAATTTTTTCGTTGAAGAGGAGGGATTTTTCGTTTTTGCCATTGAATTTTGTAATCGGCGAAACTATCGAGAGGTTGGAGAAGATGAAGGGATACGTGAGTTGGTGGGGATGACTACCTTTACTTTTTAGTTCCACTTTTTTTGGCAAGTGGATAATTAATTGGACTTAATTATATCATTACCATTATTAAAAATGTTAATAACGGTTAAACATATTTTTAGGTGTAATTGAAAATTTTTTAAGTGGTTTAGGTGATTTCCCAATAAAAAATAAAAGGGGTGCAAAAGTGTTAAATAGTTTCAGCATGACCATATGGCATGCAATTTCCTCAAAGCTAATTAAGAAAATATATAAATGAGATTGGAAACTAAGGTGAGATTTTATATTTTGTTAAAAAAAAAAAA